AGACCACCTGTCATAAGTCGCCTGGACACCGGGCCCACCTTAGCCTGGGTAAAACCTAGTTTTCATTGTCTGCCTTTTCAAGAGTGGTGAAGCCCTTGAGACTATGCCCTCAGACACCTCATGCATCAGCCGGTATATTGAGCTCGAATTCGCGTACAAAAGTCTTAAGCAGAAATGGGAGAGACAAAAGCCAATCCGAACGGGATGAGACACACGGCGACAACCTACTGATGTGAGCAGCACGCTTCTACCGACTTTTTTCCATGCATTCATTATGTCAACCGTTTCTTTGCACTTTTTACTTTATTCTGCATATGACGATGAGCTACAGGTCCAGTCTAGAAAATTTAAGAAGGAAATTCTATTACCAAAAGAACGCATTCTAAATTTCTGTCAAGACCGAAACAGCCTAGCTACTAACATCCGAAAATTTTTACTACGACGCAGTTACAACCATCTCCAATCCCTACGTCCACAAAAATAGGACCATGGCATCTCTTTAAGTACTGGGTTAAAGTATATTGTTTGTGATGCATGAGTTCTGACTATGATAAATATAAAGGATTTCTCGCGCCACCTAAAACAAGAACCTACACATCGAAGACAGCAGTCGACATATCCAGGATAGCCAATGAAGGTATTTCCTTATACACGGGCCGACCGGCAATCGATCTTGGCTATTCGACGAGGGCTTGTGCATATGAGTACGAACAAAACGCCACCCCGTGGTGAATGGGGACTCGCACATCTCCACCAATATCTATTACTTGTACATATATTTTCCGAAGGAATAAATGGTGCCCGGTTGTCGAATTTAGTACATCACTCGAACGAATTTAACACACCACCCTCCGGTTTGGGATGAAGATTATCCAATCCCTTTGGCCGGTATCAATCCATTTTATGTAATGTCATTCGTATCTGCCCTTTGCCAAACAAAATACAAATTCGTGTACATAACCTCGAAAAAGGATTTGCCGTGTCTATGAAACTATAGATAATTCTGCAATGCGCACGCCTCAGTAGGCTAAACAGGACGTAACTATTCAAGTTATACAGTCAAGAGTGTCCACTAACGTTTTTCTACTGAATGCAAT